ATATATGCAAGCACTGAAAACTATTTTTCACATAAATAAATAGGTGAGAGTGGAGCATTTTTTGAACTTTTTCCAAGAATATGCCAAATACCAGACAGTGGTCTATCACAACTTCTTTTAATCATTAACAGCCAATTAAAATAGATTTTTCTTTAATTTTGTTGAAAGCAGAGAATAGGAAATCTCTTGATTTGTGAAAGTTATTTGTTATCCTGCCATTAGGGTCTTATACACTTTTAATTCCCAGGAATTATGCAAAAATCCTTTATCAAGATGTATCAAATAACTACTACTTCTTCCTTCAACTCTCTCACTTAGAGTCTTAAACTGATATTCTCAGAAAGGGTTGGGAATATGGAAAAATTATTACTTTTAAGACACCCTTGCCAGCATCATTATTATTTTCCATAAGCTGCTTTTATTGTGTGCTTTACACATATTTTTGTCAACATCTTGGAGCTACATATTTAGCTTTTCAGTATATAGATGCCATATGATGTATAACATGGTTAGCTGAGCTGGTTCTCATTGTCCAAACAAAAAGCAAATGTATTTACATGGCTCTCCATGACCACCATTTCAATTCCTAATTCCTCTGGATTATGGCTATGTGCTTTGTATGGAAGAGGAGAAACAAGAGTTGAGCTGAGATTATTTTGATGATTCTTCTGCCCCAAGTTATTTGAATCATTTTGGTGAAATTTTAGATTTCATATATGTCAACTACTTCAAGAAATAAAGTATCGAAACTCCAAAATCATTAAGTGAATACACACATATAGCCTCCACAAAGGTACACCATCCAGAGGTCCCCTTTCTCATTCACCCCTGCTTGAACCACTGATTCCATATTATTTCTATCCTTTTTTCTTTTTTTTTTGCTGGGAAAGATTCACCCTGAGCTAACATCTGTTGCCAATCTTCTTCTCCCTTTTTTTCCTCTCCAAAGCCCCAGTACCTCATTATATATTCTAGTGGTAACTCCTTCTAGTTCTTCTATGTGGGCCACCACCACAGCATGGCTACTGACAGACAAGTGGTGTAGTTCTGTGCCCAGGCTGCTGAAATGCAGTGTGTCAAACTTTAACCACTAGGCCATCAGGGCTGGCTCCCATTTGCTCTTTGATTCGGGAAGTCTGACATCAACAGTTTCATTTCCTTATCTTGCAGATGAAGAGGGAGATTTCTAATGGGATATTCATGATGGCAATATTGCACGGAACAAACAAATTTGGAATTCATATGTTGTCTTCATAGAAACTTACATAGTGTTTAGTGCTTATATTGTTTGTATTTTTAATTCATTTACTCAAGAAATGTCTACTTAATCACCTGTATACAGAGACTGAGGATACAGCAGTAAACAAGTGAACAAGATAAGACACAGGGCCTGCCCTCAGGTAGGTTATACTATAGTGGGGAGGCAGATGTTAAAGAACAAATTACAAAATTAATAATTCAGTACAATTATGAGAACTTCTATGAGTAAAAGATAAGGTGCTATGAGACCACATGAAAGGGGATTGATCTCTCATAAGGATAAGAATAAGAAAGGGACAGCTTTCTTAACTAAATGACATTTGGTCTGAGGGCTGAAAGATTAGACAGTATAAGCCGTCCTGAGTGGGGGCTGTTGAAGAACAGTATGCACGAAAGTTCTAAGATTGGTAGGAACCTGTTGAAGGAATTTTAAAGAAAGCCAGTGAGTCAGGAAGATGGAAAGGAGGAGACATGGAAATGATTCAAGATGGCGCTGGAGAGGAGGCAGAAGCCAGGTAGTACAAAGCCTTCCTTGTAGAAGATTTTCATGATTTTGGTCTTTATCTCAACACCAATGACCACTGTAGAGATTTAAGGAAAGAGATGAATAGTCAGATGTACATTGAAAAAAAAGCTGAGACATAAAGCTAGGAGTTCCTGCAGTGGTCCAAGAGAGAGGTGCTATTGCCTTGGACTAGGGTGGTAGCAAGAGATATAGACAGAGTGGACACACCTGAGAGGTCTTTAGGAGGTAAAGAGGTACAATACATACATGAGAAATATTCCTCAAGATCCAAGGAAGGCTTGATATCAGTGACTAGAGCAGTATATTTTTTCCCTTTGTCTGCCATCACCTCCTGTCAATTCCATGCTTGTTTTACTATTAGAAAGCTGACTGAGTAAAGGGGTTCGGAATTCCACTGAAATGATAAAGTTGTCTGATGATGCGATCTATTAGTTTCAAAAATCATTTTGACAACTCTTGCTAAGCTGTGTGCTTTACTGGGCTGGGCCCTAGGGCATGAAGAACACAGTGTCTCGGCCTGTACTTTTGACATTCTCATTGTCCAACCAGGGAGATCTATCTGCAGCATCATGGTACAATATCACAGCCAGGAAGGAGTTAGTTATGAACAACCCCTGTGGGAGACTTTGGGGGAGCCAGGATGGTGCTGTGGTGGTTAAGAGAGCAGATTCTGGAGTCTGGGTTTGAATGTGGAAATATCCATTTACTAACTTCCTCATCTAAATTGCCTAAATTGCCTCATCTAAGACATGGGACTAATAATAGTAAGTTATTCATAGGTGGTTCTAATAATCGTATTGCATGACATGTGAAAATCATCAATTGGCCGGGCACGTAGTAACTGCTTAATAAATGCAATAAATTTAGCAATTATATTATTACAGGGGAAGAGCCAGTTAGCCATCTGGGTAGAGTCAGAAAAGGTTACACAGTGATGCTTTATATCACATTTAAAGGGTGTATATAGTTGACCTTTAAGAAATGCATGCTTAAAGAATGAATATGTTTTATGACAATAAGATAATTTATTGAGCATTTATTCCATATTAGGCTCTGCTATGAGCATTATGAAGATATTTTCTTACTTAATTCTTATCTGACCCTAAAGGAAATACTATTATTAGGTCCATTTCATAGATGAGAGTCCTGAGGCCCCAAAACGTTAGTTACTTGCCCAAGATGACACAGTAAATCGCCAAGCTGGGACTTTAAATCCAGTCCAGACCAACCAAAGCTTTGTTCTTGACTCCTACTTGTTCTACAGGATTCTCTACCTAAAGTGCTTCTGACTTCAAGCTAGCTTTTCCTTATTAGGTATTCACTCAGTCAGATGGATACCAAAAATACATTGCTATAAGCAGTCAATAAGATATTTACAGTGTTTTATCTGAACATTTTTATTTTACAAATAAATACTTATTATAGAAAATAAATACATAAAGGAGTAAAATATAAATTACTGGTTTCTTCAACTCTCATACATAATTATTGTACATATTTTGCTGTAAATATCTTCAGACATTTTCCCCCAATGTATTGATATATAAGTTGGATGTATATAAACCTATATTTTTATGATAAAAATGAATGGGGTCACACTGCTCATGGTTTTACTACTTTTTCGTTAAGGATGTATTGTAAAACTCTTTACCTGTTTGGTACGGTCATGCTTAGTGTAGTTGATGGCACTTGGGAAAGACTCAGCAAATGCCAGTGGCCATTGTGATTGTGATTGTCATCAACATCATCATCTTGATAAATTGCCCTCTAGAAATGCTGTAATAATTTGACATCCCAACAACAACAAATTATTCTTTTCAACACACCTCCACCAAACTTGGCGTCTATCACTTAATTTTTGTGTGTGCCAGTCTTGAAGATTAAAAACGGAATCATGTTGTTTTATTTTGAACTAATTTTATTACTAATGAGGTTAAACATTAGTCATTTTTATTTTTTGAATTTTCCTTCACTTGTTATTCTGTTAGTTTGCTTATTATTTTCTTATTGGTGTGTAAGAACTCTTTTATATTATGATTCTTTTTTTTTCTTGATTTTATTTTTTCCTTTTTCTCCCCAAAACCCCCCGGTACATAGTTGTATATTCTTCGTTGTGGGTCCTTCTAGTTGTGGCATGTGGGACGCCACCCCAGCGTGGTTTGATGAGCAGTGCCATGTCCGCGCCCAGGATTCGAACCAATGAAACACTGGGCCGCCTGCAGCAGAGCGCGCGAACTTAACCACTCGGCCACGGGGCCCACCCCCTATATTATGATTCTTATATATGAAGCGTATATTTCAAATATTTTCACTAGGTTGTGATTTGATTTTTTATTTAGGTTTTAGTGTATTTTTTAAAATAAATAAATAAGTTAAAAACTAAATAATTAAATGCATCAGTCTTTTTTATTGTAGCTTTTCTCTTGGGCATTTTACAAATAACTATTTTATTCATATCTATGTAATATAACTATGGCATTTTTGACATTAATAAGGGGTACCTATTCTTCAAAATTTGGGAACCATTGGTGTAAGAAATAAAAAGTCATATGGAGTATGGATCTGTGTTTGTGGTACCACTGGTAAATTGAAAGACTCTCTGCTTTGGGGAGAGTTTCAGTGGCTTGTGGATGTTTAACAAGTTTCTTGCTTGTCAACATCTGAAAATATGAGATTTTTTCCTTTTTGTTTTCATCTGCTTTTCTTGAAACCACAGAACGTCTTGTTTTTCAGGTAATCCACTACAAAGTGCAATACATCAAAAAGGGCTCAGCTTCATATTAAAGTTGGGACTTCTGGGGCAGAGGGATTAGTTACATTTTTGAAATTGTTTACATTCCATCAGAATAATAGTAACAGATCAAATATTTCCATACCTTACATTGCATTGTTCATCATGAGGAGGAAAATATTTTCACTTTTCAAAGATGTATGTTTATCTATAATACAATTTAAGTATGTAAATAATATACATGTTTTGCTATAGACTTGAAAGAATACTGACAAATGTGCAGAAGAAATTCTGGCTTACTTTATGAACTCAGTTTTAAACAGTTGGCTTACTGAGTTCTGCATTAAAAGGCCATTTAATGAATTGCTTTTATTGTGAAATTCATCAGTCAAAATAGAAATGCCTTTTCCTCTGTCAGAGAGATATACACTGTTATGAACATTTGCATCTCACATTTAACTGAAAATCTTTTTTCTCTTCTAGCTTTTGTTTTTGCCCATTTGACATCATACATGGCTACTGATGGCAATGTTCTTGTAAGTACCCTTTGGAACACCTCAGACTTTAGATATTAATTATCAGTTTGATGAATGAGTGAAAAAGTAGACAAGTGGATTTTAAGTTTGGCCAGCTATTTATTGTCCTCCATTTCACTAGCCACAGTGGAATTAAGTGATCTTTTTACTAGATCATTCTAATGACCACCAAGCATTAGTGTAAGACTCCTAGCTATTTACTTTTAAAAATCAAGAAACATAACTCCGATTTTAATGTACTGTATATAAATTATCTGTGTTTTACATTAACTATGGTACTAGTGCAACCTCTCACGTCAAGGCAGGTTGTAGTAACAGTAATGGAGAAATTGAGTGAACTAGACAGTTTCTGGAAGGGACACCTTACTGAAAAGCAGGGCAGCTGGTTAATTCTCTGCTAGCTTTTTTAACACTTTCATGTCCCGGAAATAGAGAAGGCAACGTGAGCACTTTAATTCTGATGCTAATTCTAAATGAGGAAAAGCTTGCTAGTGATGAAAAGTGGTGGGAACTTTGGGAAACAGGACTGCAGCAAACTGGAAATGAAACCACAAATTACAGTCAGTTATATACCCTCGAAGTTCACCATCTAAAACTTGCGGAAAAGGCAAGCGTTATCCCTTGGCATGAATGGGTGGGTGGTGTTTGATGATAGAAATGTGAATAATCACAATGAAGATAAAGAAGAGAAACAACTAAGAATAAATGTGGCCTCAATGAAAGACTTTTGCTAGGATTAGATGTAAAGACATATGTATAGGATGTTAAAGGAGGGTCCTGTGGTCAAGGGCAAAAACAAATGGATATTGTAGATCTGTAAAAATAGAGCCAGGAAGACAGGTTCAGAGGTTCCAAAGTTTATGAAAAATTGTAAAAAGAAAAAGTTCGTGTGATTATAAGCACATGTGTATGTGTTATATGGAACAAAGAAATGAAAAGGAAGAAGTAGAATTTTTTTACCCTTGAGGATGGTAATGCCGTTTTTATTTCTTACATTGCTTCACCTTTTCCACTGAAAGAATGTCGTCTCCAACTGGAATCAGTTCATGTTACATGCTTAAGAAGAAATGGAAATTAAGATAATTAGAGAGCACCTAAGCACTTTACATTAGTAAATTCATTCATTCATTGAAACATTCATTTGATGTTCACTAATTGCTTCTGACTCAATCGTGCATCAGCCACTGTACAAGATAAGAACTGGAGATTTAATCGTGACTCGAAAGAAGTTAAAATCTCCACATTTTAAAAAGGGTATAATCCTGGATATTAGAACAAAGATTTCAGATGTGATTCTCAAAAGACTATCATCCATACAAAGACATATCCATATAATTCCCAATCTGGAGCTGTTAGCACCGTAATATGTAGCCTGGGTCCCCTTGGAGCTGGGCACAAGTGGATTCTGTTCTCACTGGTGGGACCTCTGGCTATTTATGGTCTTTCTCATTTCATGAGCCATCCTCCCCTCCAACACTCAGTCAGCCCAGCTCTCCTTTTGTGTTTATTTACCTGTTCCTTTTGTCTCACAGTGATCAGCCGTACTGCTTAATGCCTCTCTTAAGCATTTCTTCAGCTGCTTTTCAGTGGTTACCCTACTTTATCTTTCCGTTCAGAGAATTAGTTCAATTTTCTGCTGTCATTTGTTCTCTAAATAAAATGTAGCACAGGAGACCTATTTTTATGCTAGGTAGCTTCAGTAGGCTTGGCACATTTGACCTAATCACATCCCGAATTACACTTCATTTCCAGTAAACTAACGTTTATTGAGCTGTGTGCGCTGAGCACTCTGCTTGGCACTGAGGTACGAAGATGAGGAGCTTACCATGTCGGGGGAAGAGTCACACTTTTAAGGCACTTCATTGATCCTGACCTGATAGTTGTCATTGAGGTTGGCTTGGTAAATGATGCTAATAAAACTCTCCAAGAAGTAGATTCTGAGCATTTGAAGTCTTATGTATATGCTGGAATAACATTGCTCTCTTTTGTTAAGCTGAGTTGTTTGTTATCTGATAGTATTCTTTTTTCTTCTCTGAAGGGAAGCAGCAGAATTTTCAAAGCTAAAGCTTCACAGAGAAGCAAAAATATTAACTCATCAAGCTCTGTTGGTTTTACCTCCTATATATTTCTCCCCCGTCACAGACCCAACACTTGCCCTTCCCTCCGCTCTCTGGGCTCTTTGCCTCTGCCCCTGCCTGCCTCCAATCCATTTGCCACACAACGGCCAGAGCGAATTTTCTTAAATGCAAATCTGATTGTGCCGCTCACCAGCTGGCATCTGTGTAATGAGTTCCGATCGGCTTTCAGATAAACTTCGTACTTTCAGACATAACTTACAAGGCCCTGCATGAGGTGACTTTGACACTCCAAATGTGGATCTCTCCCCACACTCTGTGGTCGATGCCTGCTGGACTGCACCCGCATCCTGTATCAGAGTCTCTTGTGCTCAGGTCTTTATCTTTCAGGTCTTTGTTTTTATCAACTCATGGGGTGCCTTCCCTGACTCCCCACTTCTGGGTAAGTGGCATAATGGGGTACATTATAGCACATATGTGCAGATTCCATTGTCTTCATCCAATCCTCTATCTTCTGTATTTGCTTGGAAACTGTGTGAGAGCCTGCTTACTGTTGAATCTCTGGTCCTTGGCACCGAGTATTTGTGCCATAACTGGTGGTTGAATAAACAAAAGCCATAATTTGCCAAATTGTGGCTTGAAAGAAAGAATTAGCATATCACCTTTAGGGTCTGGGTGATAGCTTGCTGGGAAATCTTCAACATGATTAGATTTGGTAAAAATCCCTAAACATCTCTAAGAATCCATTTGTGTAGTCCTCGATATTTATAAGGCTTGTGGAACATTGCTGAGGTCATAACAAAGTATTATACACTGAATCAGTGTGGCTTAGTTTTCTTTGATGATTAGTTTCTCACTGAATAAATAAATAGAAAGATAAATAAGTAGATAAATAAATAAATAAATAATGACTAGCATATGTGAATTTTAAAGACTTGATAAAAAATTTCTCTGGTCCCAGATTTTAGTAACAATGTTTTAACTAAGGAGAGAAAACAGCCTTAATTTAAAGATGACAAGGCTCAGAGAGAATGTGACATATCGTATCTTTTCCCATTGTGCATAGTTTTTTTACCTAAGACTTCTGAGATTTATTACTTTCAGGGATGGTTCTGGTGGGAAAGAAATGTCAGAATTATCTTAGCTCAAAACTTTATGACAGTGTTTTCTCAAGAATTCTTTTAAATAAAATTCTTTCATTGCATATTGCCTGAAAATACAATGTCTAGTGAAAACTTTTTTCTGAAACAAAAGTCTCGGCATCTAAGTCAGGCTGACTTTGCCCTGTTTTCATACTGATGAGGACCAGCTCAGTGACTATGAATGGACACTTGCTTCTGGCACTGCCAACTGTCTGGGGAATAGATTGCTGGGTAGGGACTTGTTAGCTACCAGTGGAAAAATTCTGTCCCTTCTCCCAGCCCCCGTCCTCCTCTTAATGCATTCCTATTTCTTGGGTTCCAGATTCTTAGTATTTGGAGGATATGGTTAAAACAGGATGCTGGAGAAAGTTACTGTGGTTTTTGAGGAAATAGTACTTTAGACAGAAGCAGATGTTTATTTAGAACGAGTCCATTTTACCTTTAAGGAAATACCAAAGGTCAACTCTCCAAGTGGGTTCAAATTTAGTGTCAGCCAATCCCAGGGGCTTTTCTCTGTGTATCTGCCTCTGTGGAGGTAAGAAAGGTGTTGGAGCAACTTTCATGCTGCTTAATTCCGCTGATGTTATTGGTGTTCAGCTCTGAGTAATCAAGCGGTGGATGGCTTTCCAGATATTTGGTAAGTCTCCACTTCGGCCGGTCACTACCAGTAGGACATCATAGGAAGTAAAAATTGATATGACACAGTTAATCTTTTGGTAAACATGTATTAAGTGCTCTCTGTGTATCAGGCACTGGGCTAGGTTTTGAAGTCATGACGTGTTCAAGACCATCAGTTCTGTCTTGAAGTCTTGGCCAATCATTGACTCTAAACAGAGTTGTCGTCATTCAACTACAGAGCTAATAAAAGAAATGTGATGAAGTAAAAAGTGACATGAACAGAGGAATGATTGAGTAGATGTGTGGGAAATGGGAAAAGGCCTCTTTGAGATTACTCACAGGTTATGGGCTGGACCATCGGGTGGATAGTGTTACCACCATGTATGTACCACACAGATATATAGACAGATAAATTATAATGTCCATTTAAGACGCATCAGCAAAACGTGGGAATACAGAAGACAGAAGAAGCAGAATAGCAGAGTTAAACGATATGCTCCAGAATCCCAGTCGGACTGGCCTGGGTCCCATTCTTGCCTCTGCTACTATTTATGTGTGATCTGAGGGGAAGTTACTTAACCAGACCAAGATGAAGTTCCTCATTTGTGAAAAGGAAGATGAAAATAGTACCTCTCATGAAGATATTTGGGAGATAATATAAATCAATTATTATAGTGACTACAAATAAATAACACTGAGTGAATATAGGATTCTTATAAGAGCTAAGTGCCTTGTAAAGTTAGAGACAGCTTCATGATGGAGATGGCTTGTGACCTGGGTCTGAAAGGATGAGTCAGATTTAACCAGATGGAAAATGAGGGAAAGGAGTAAAGTATTCAAAAGTGTGAATGTGTTAAAGTGCCTGACATTTCTTCAGAATAAAAAAGAATTTAAGGTGCCAGAAGAGGAAACAGACAGATGTCTTGGTGGTATATTGAGGTTACTATGGGAAGAGACTCACTTGTCATTTGGATTACGATCTTAAGATGGAATCTTAGAAAGGAGATGACTGCCTTCCATTCAGTAATGGTCCGGGGAGTTCACACTTTGACACTGCTCTGCTGAAAACATAGAGCAATGAAAGACAAAGAGAAACATAGAACACCAAAAAAGCACAGCTAGGCTCAAAAATACAACAGTCATCTCTGTGAGTCAGAAATGAAAA